ATTCTTTCTCTCAGCAAGGCCATTTGATTGTGGAGTGTATTTGACCGTGAATTGATGTTTAATTCCAAACTCATCACAAAGCTCATCAACTTTAGTGTTTCTAAACTCACTTCCATTGTCACTTCTCACTTTCTTGATGGTGGTTTCAAATTCATTGTGACATCTCTTGACAAAAGATTTGAATGTAGCAAATGTATCACTTTTGTCACTAAGAAAGAATACCCATGTATATCTTGTGAAATCATCCACTATTACAAAGCCATATTATTTCCACCAATGCTAGTGTATGTGGTTGGTCCAAATAAATCCATGTGCAACAACTCAAATGGTTTGCTAGTGCTCATCATGCTTTTCTTAGGATGGGTGTTACCTACTTGTTTGTCGGCTTGACAAGAGCTACAAGGTTTGTCCTTTTCAAATACCACATCTTTCAAGCCTTTAACTAGATCATGCTTAATCAATCTATTTAATTGTTTTAGACCAACATGATCAAGCCTTCTATGCCATAACCATCACATGCTAGATTTGGTGAATAAGCATGTTGTCAATTGTGTTTCACTAGCATTGAAATCAACTAGATAGAGGTTCTCATATCTAATGCCTTTAAAGATCAAATTTGAACCATCTACACTAATGATCTCAACATCATCTATTCCAAATATGCACTTAAATCCAAGATCACACAATTGAGCTACGGATAGTAAGTTGAAGTTCAAGCTTTCTACTAACAAGACATTTGATATGCTCAAGTCATTGAATATTGCAATCTTACCAAGTCCTTTGACCTTACCTTTGCTATTGTCACCAAATGTGATACTATCACAATCACCATTGCCACTTGAATTGATTGAGTTGAACATTCTTGCATCTCCGATCATATGTTGAGTGCACCCACTATCAAGCACCCAATGCCTTCCTCTGGCTTTATAATTGACCTACAAAAACAAATCAATTTCTTTTAGGTACCCAAACTTACTTGGGTCCTTGAAGGTTAGTCACTAAGCTTTTGGGCACCCAAATTGCCTTCTTCTTTGGGCCAACAATGGGAGCACCAATGAACTTAGCCTTCACACCATTGGTACCCTTAGTAAGCAAATAACAAGAATCAAATTTAATTGAGGATACATTAGCATGTGATTTCTTGTTCTTGCATTGTTGTTCTATATGCCCAACTTGCTTGCAACTATAGCAAAACCAACCATTGCCCCTCATAAAGCTAGGTTTGGGAGTAACAAAGGCCGCCTTGCCTTTCTTGGGGATATAGCCTAATCCCTCTTTATTAAGAGTGAATCGTTGGCTACCCAAGCACTTTAGCAAGCGGGCATCACCGCCATAGGCATTGCCTAAGGCACGTGTGAGCTTATTGACCTCCTTCTTGAGGTTCATATTTTCCACTATTAGTGTGGTATCACAAGTGAAACCATCACTCAACGGTGAAGTAGTAGTGGAAGTGCTACATGTAGAGTTAGTGGGAGAAACAATGATAGGAGTATAGAATGATTCATCAAGAATATCACAAGTTACTCATATGTCACATGTTACAACAACCTTTTCCTTGTTTTGTTCAAGGAGAGAGGAGTGAGCCTTTTCAAGCTTCTTGTGAGCTTTGCCAAGCTTCTCATGGACTTTCACTAGTCCCTCATGAGTTGCATCGAGCTCATCAAAGGATTGCTCAAGAGCTTTAAGCTTCTTGTGCAATTCTTTGCACTCCTTTCTCTTCATCTCAAAACAAGTATGAGCTTATTCTAACATGTCCATGAGGTCCTCCTTTGAGTGCTCCTCATCATCATCACTCTCACTATCACTACTATCACTCTCATCACATTTTACCTTAGCGGCCTTAGCCATGAAGCATGTTGATGGAGTGTTGAAGAGAGAAGGCTTGTTGTTGATGGCAATACTTGCAAGCGTCTTCTTCTTGGATGTATTCTTTTCATCATCACTAGAATCATCATCATCCAAAGAAGCATCACTATACCATGTCACAACATAAGAGCCGCCCTTCTTCTTCATGAACTTGCCAAACTTGCGCACAAAGAGAGCTAAGGTCTCATCATCAATATCACTCATTTCCTCATCATCACTTGACACTTCTTTCTTTGACTTGCCCTTGCTCTTGGATGAGGTGCCGTCCTTGAAAGCTACACTCTTCTTCTTCTTGTCCTCCTCTTGGTCAACCCCTTCCCTTTTCACACGTATGTCTCTTGAGTCATGACATCACCTAGTACTTGGTTAGGGATTATATCTTTCAATCCTCCTCTTATGATGATCAATCTCAATGTTTCAAACCTTAGAGGTAGACACATCAAGAACCGATAGGAGACATCATCATCATTGACCTTCTCACCCAAGCTCTTCAAATCATTTACAATAACTTGAAGCCTATAGAACATCTCTGGAATGCTCTCATCATCCTTCATCTTGAAGCTTGTTAATTTATTTTTGAGGATGTATGGCTTGGCACTTTTGACCGCCGATGTGCCTTCATATGTTTCTTCTAACCTTGTCCAAACTTCACTTGCCCTCTCAAGATCTTTGATTTGCTCAGACACCTTTGGACCAATTGCATTGTATATGGTGTTTAGAGCCATGGTATTGCATTGCTTGTTCTCTTGATCTCTTAGAGTTGGATTTGTGGGATCAAGGACCACAAAATCATTTTCGGTCACATCCCACACCTTCTCATGAATTGACCCCAAATGCATCTTCATTTTTCTCTTCCAATAGTCATAGGATGTGCCATCGAATTGCGGTGGTTTGCTTCCAACATGGTTGAATACAATTTGAGCCATCTTTTGACACCGAAGGTTGTAAAGCCTTAATCAAATGGTGACCACGGCTCTGATACCACTTGAAAGGTCCTAAATGGCTAGAGGGGAGGTGAATAGCCTAATAAAAAATTATACAAAACACTTAGAGCAACTAGTTAGTCAATTGGAAAGTGAAGCTTTTTGCTCTGGCTCTACTAAGTGTTGCAAGCCACCTACCCAAGCAATTCTACTATATTATGATCTCTATATCAATCAATGTCTAAGTCACTACTCTCTAAACAAGTGAGCAAGCAATAGCCAATTACTTCTATCTAGAGAGCTACTACTAGGAACTACATCTACCACTACACAAGAATATATGAAAGTAATGCAAGTGATAGAGATAGTTACCAATGATGGCAAGAGACAATTAATCACAATATATATATCAAATGAACACCGGGAGATATCCAATGAGACAAGGGACACACGGTTTTTCTCTCGAGGTTCACGTGCTTGCCGACATGCTAGTCTCCGTTGTGTCGACCACACACTTGGTGGTTCGGCGGCTAATAGGTGTTTCACAAACCTAGCCCAACAAATGGGCGCCATGAACAACCGACCCACAAGTGAGGGTAGCTCAATGACACGAGCAATTTACTAGAGCTACCTTTTGGCTTCTCCACCGGGGAAGGTACAATACCCCTCACAAATCAACAGGAGATGGCCACGAACAATCACCGACTCGTGCCAATGCTCCTCCGCTGCTCCAAGCCGTCTAGGTGCGTGGCAACCACCAAGAGTAACAAGAAAACCGCAGCAACAACGATCCCCAAGTGCCACTAGATGCAATCACACAAGAAAATGCACTTGGAATTACTCAATCTCACTTTGATTTGCACTATCAAGCAAGGAGATGAGTGGGAGGGAGTATGCCTAGCTCAAAGGATGTCAAGAATGTTAGAATGCCAAGAGAGAGCTCCCAAAGCCGGCCAAGTTCTATTTATAGAGCTCCCTCACTCAACAAACCCATTGGCAAACTTAACATGCTGTCTACGCATTGAATGGACGCTCTACAGGGTGCACCGGACGCGTCCGGTCACCAGCGTCTGGTGTATCGCCCGAGGACACATGTCCCGACCGTTTGAATGTTACCGTTGGCGCGCAACGGCTCCTTCACGCGCGCTCACTACGCTCGCACCGGATGCGTCAGGTCATCTGACCAAACGCTTGACTCCTCAGAGTCTGGTGCAACTCAGAGAGGTTCCAAACTGTGATTTTGTCGTCCGGACGCATCTGGTCATCCTGACCGGACTCCTCCAGTGTCCGGTGCTCCACAGTGGGTGCCTCTTCATCAAATCTTCAACCCCTTTGCAAATGTACCAACTCCACAAGTGTTACACCATATGTGTGAGTTAGTTAGCATCGTCACAAACATTTTCTAAGGGTATTTGGTTAGCACACTAGGTCCTAATGTAAATGCATGTATGAATTCACCTAGTGGCACTTGATAACCGCGTTAACCGAGATTCTCCCCTCTTAATAGTATGGCTATCAATCCTAAATGTGATCACGCTCTCTATAGGGTCTTGATCACCAAACCAAAAATGACTCATATGGTTATACCTTTGCCTTGAGCCCATTTTTATTTTTTCTCTTCCTTCTTTTCCAAATGTGGAGCACTTGATCATTATCTTGTGGTCATCACCATCTCCATGATCATCATCTAGCTTCATCACTTGGATTGCACCACCTTTCTTGTCTACACACTTAGTGAAAGATTAGTCCAATAGGTTTCATCAATTAACCAAAACCAAACCAGGGCTTTCAATGGTGCTCCACATCCTCGTCCTCATCATTGTCACCGTCGTCCTCCTCCTCCATGGGTGCTAGGAGATGTCCGTCGTTTGGTGGTGGATCATCAACTACAAAAATGAAACAATGATTACAACAATGGTAAAAACATGCAGGAGTCAAAACAATTGAAAATGAATTACTCGCATAAACGATGCCTCAAAGGCCTAATGGCTAGTGCCTTAGCGGCCTCCTCCTAAAAAAGGCCTCCTCCCTCGCATCCTTCGCCTCCTTAAAGTTGTACGTCTCCTTGTTTTGTAGCCAGAAGCTCATCAACTCCATTTCATCAAAGTACCAAGAAAGACTTCGACTGATCACCCGAAGAAAGTCCTCAAAAATCCTATTACGGGTCTTCCATGATGGCGACGGTACCTTGTACTTCCTCCTCACCTGTACCTAAATCTGCTGCCGATGCAAATGCTTCCTGTGTTTTTCGAGAGGTGAACGTATCTTCAGCCTCTCTACTAAGTATCCACGACTGGGGAAGTCCTCCCAATTGCATGTCCTCCCCGCCTAAGCAAACACAAACAAATGAAACAAAACAAACTCATGGCCATTCTTGCTTCAATAACTTGAACGGTTCAGTCAACTCACCCAGAACTCGGTAGGCCCTCCATAAGCATTGCCGCAGTAGTAACCGTAGCGTAGTTCAGACGGAACAACTCCTTCACGAGCCTTGATCCCACACCTGCACTTATGCTCCGGCATTTTTGTGCAAGGCCACTCCTTAATGCCTACTTCAAACTCTGCAAATTCATACTCAGAAGGCCAGTGCGATTTGGGTCCATAATTGTACTCCTCAAAGTCACAATATGGGAAGCCTCTCTGCAAAAAACAAACGTTGCAAGTGTAATGTTGTATGTGCAAAAAACAGAAAACCTTCCAAATGGATTCATTGGATGCGAACTTATGCTACATGGCAATCCACACCGGTAGAAGGGAGTGAACGCACCACATTGGTTGGGAGTAGTTAGTCGCATTGACACTCCACAGTGGCAATGAGGAGGATTGCCTAGTCGGTACAAACTAGCGTCAATCTTCTCTTCCTCTGTCATTTCCGGAGGGTTTGGTGGCAGCCGAACCCAACGAACAAACTCAAGATACGGACAACTCTTTCAGGGATCGTAAGGAAACAACATAATCAGCGGATCGAACGTTTCATGGCCATCGATCCACCTATAGAAGTTGCATCCCTGTAGATAGGCATCAAGTGTCGGAGGACGACGCTTAAGTTGACACACATAGAAAGCACGCCTAGCTGACTCTAGATGCCTTGACTGCTTCACAAAAGACGGTAACCCACAGTGACACAACGGTGTTGACAATGCTGGTAGGAAAGGACCGAAGGCACCATGATCCTTCGGATGGTGCAAGAACTGCTTGTCATTTGGAACCGCCATTGAACCTGCCATCATAATTATCAAAGGAATAATGTTACAAAGTAGTTAACCTTTTTCCATGTACCCTACAACAGCGTCCAAGGTACATATCCTACTGTAAATCATCTCTATAATCATGCAAACTCATCAACTGAAACCCTACAAACATACTTAATCCCTGCAAATCATCTCTATAGATACACAACAAAACCATACATCTAATCACTACAAACTAACTTCAATTAAACCTAACCTTACTTACAATAGTCCAACCCACACACCTGTGCAAACACTGCAACAGTCTAACCTAGCAGCAAGTTAAACCCTAGAAACAGTGCAAATCAGACACCAATCCAAACACTACAACAGTCTAACAAGTACACATGCAATTGGAATATATTACACATCATTAGCCAAACAAACTTTCAGTTAACCAAACAAAAGCCAGTCTTGCACACAACAGTGTAAACCATAGCAGTCTACAAACATCAACTCAACACATAAACAACCAACAAGTGAGGGAGTTATACCTCCTGCACGAGACCGTTGCAAACCAAAATCCAAATCCAAACTTGATCACATAGACAAAGAGAATGGAATGAAGACAAGAGAGAGAGAGGAGAGCTCTCCAAGCTTATTCACGAACTCCCTGCGAATGAGGAAAATAGGGACACAAAAGAGAGAGAAGGAAGAAAGGAGGTGGGCCACGCCCTTTTATGGCCCTAGTGCGACGGTCCTGTCGCGCCGGAGTCGATGGCGCGGTAGGGCGGGCCCCACCATCCGCCATGCCACCTCGGGTAGTCAGTCGCCGCCACCGTGGGACCCGTTTGTCACGCCAGTGCATGTGGCGCGACAAAGTAGCGCTGTCACGCCAACCAGAAAAATCCCCTGGTGAGTCGCCCCCAATGCCCCAACGATCATCTCGCTCTGAAGTTTGGTTGCCACCCTGAACTTTCTTTCCTTGTGGGGATCTCTCCCACAGTTTTGTGCCCCTCAAAAATGCATAAATGAACAAAGATAATCATGAAAAATATGTGCAGGTGTGATCTTGTTTCTATGCATTTAATTTCATAGCTCTCATTATATAAATGAATATACTAATCAAATAGAGTTGCACTAGAAGCCATCAACGCCTAGGCCGTTGCTGGTAACGATGTCTACTACAGTATTACTAGTAACATGGACAGATCGGCCATAACGAGATGCCATCAATAGCCCTGGGCAAATTTTACCGAGAACCGAGAACTGAACCGAACTAACCGAGAACCGAAATTTCGGTTACCTGTTCAGTTCTCAGTTCTCAGGAACCGAACTTTGTTCGGTTAAATCGGTTACTCCCCTCGGTTAGCCGAAATAACCGAAGAACCAGAGGCCCAGTAAGGCCCAGCTTGAACTACTGCTTGATGCCTTGACCCCGAGCGAGTAACCCTAGCCACTCCCGTCTCCACCCCGAGACCTCCCGGCCTCCTCACCCACGCCTCATCCCCACCCACGCGCCACGCTTTGCCTGCCGACGGCGTGCCCCTCCCGCCCCAGATCCTCCTATCGCGCCCTCTTGGCCTCCCCAGTCCGGCGCCGCATCCCCACCCACGCCGCCACCTCGCGCGGCTGCCCCGGTGGCCCGACGCGCCCTCCCTGCGCGCCCTACCAGCTGACTCAGGCGCGCATCCGCCTGCAGCCCCTACTTTGCCCTAGGCGTCTTGGATCCCCCGCGACCATGGCCGCCAAATGCCCGCCCACACCATGCCTCAGCAAAGGCCCTCTTGGTCCGCAGTCCGCACGTCACCACTCACTAGCGCCCTCCACCCCAAGACGGCTACATCCATTGCCTCCTGTAGTGTAAGTATTTTGCTGACAGATATGATTCAAGATCTGAATGTATGTGTCACTTCAATTATTTTTTCAGATGTCTCAGCTTGAGGAGGACATTGACCAAGAGATCAGTAATTGGGTGGAAGGGGCAGTCAGCTAGATTACCCATATTGTCTAGATTGGCTCATGATGTGCTCGCCATCCAAGTATCCACTATCGCTAGTGAATCTGCCTTTATCACAAGTGGGCGTATACTAGATGATTTTAGGACTTCACTCACTCCATTTATGGTTGAAGCTCTTGTTTGTACTCAAGATTGGCTTAAAAGGGCAACTCCCATCGATATTGCAGAGAATACAGAAGAGTTGGCCAAACTAGAAGAAGGTGATTCAATATGTCATATCTTTTGTTTGTTGTTTTCATTGATGAAAAAATATTTAATATATCTTTTTTGTCTCATTTAAGAAATTATTCAAGAGTTCAAGGAAAAAGCCATTTTGGATGGCCATGCTGCAAAGTCACAAATTCAAGGCAGCAAAAACAAGATGGTCACCTCCACCAACATCAGTTCACAGCCAAGCAAATCCTCCAAAGCAAGAACAAGAGCACAGACAAGTCCTCCTAGACTACAGCTACATGATCATGTGAGCATTTTTCACAAGGTGTTTCAGTCATATGATCGGTCCTTTTTTCTAGACATATCTAAATTGTGACCAATTTTATTACTAATTGACTTGTTTCACAACCTGTTTCAGGCTTCCTGGTGCTTTTGGAGACCGGAGCGGAGGGCTGGTTGGTGGCTTCCTGGTGCTTCCTGTTTCAGGGTTGGAGAGCGGGTGTTGACTGTGCTGTACCACTGCCCACTGTGGCATTATCTATCTTAGTTTCTCATTCTGTTTTAATATCTGTTATGGTCATGGACTATGAACTATGGACTGTTTAATATCTGTTATGTATGGACAAGGACAATGGACTGTTTTCTGTTCCTGTGGGTTTGTGGTTGACTTGTTGTGAACTTGTGATTTGTGAATGTGCTGATGTGTTGGTTGTGGTTATTTGGTTGTGACTTATTGATTTGCATATGTTGCCATGTCATTTATGCCATGAAAACAACCAAAATGCTGCTGAATTTTTCTACTGTAACATGTTCAATAATTGGTCGATTAGTTCGGTTGGAACCGAGAACCGAACCGAACTAACCGAAACCGAACTTGGTCGGTACCGAGTTTTTTGAAGAACCGATCCGTACCGAGTTTCCTAAAAATCGAACTTCTTGAAAAACCGAAGAACTGATCGGTTCGGTTCAGTAAAACCGAACGCCCAGACCTGGCCATCAATAGGCACAATTGGCAACCAACCCACCCACACACTACGTCATGTCATGTCATGGCTAAACGTCGCCACTCGACTCCACTGGTGACTCCATTCCATGGCAGTGTGGTGATGTACGCGGGCACATGTGTGGCACGCTTTCCTCTCCTTTCTCAACTTCACATTAGGTACATACACCCATCTTTATAAGTTGATGGGTTAACCTCTAGTCAATTTGTGTACATGATTACACATTTAGCATTTGTTATGGGTATCCTAATTGTATATTAATTTAATTGAATATCAATGGGCCAAGCCCAATTAGATCCAACAATTCCCAAAAAATTCCAAGGCACATAAGACATGACATGCTCTCAGTTCTTCTGTTGTTTAGATGGAAATTATTATGTGTTAAACATCCACATTTTCTTAGATAATGAAAAACTAAACCAGCTTCATCTCTTATGCCAAGAGAATAAGACCAATTGTTACAAACATGTAAAATAATGGACAACTTCCACTCACAACTCAATTGTAGCATTATATAATAAGGCCATCCAAAGGACGCAAAAAAAAAAAAGTGCAGTGTCACCGCTTGTACCACTTGATAGACATAAAAATCGTGTTTCTTGTCCGTTTCACCTTGCTGCTTCTACCACTTGACAAACATAAAAAAATGTGTTTCTTGTTGGTTTCACCTCGCTGTAACTGCCCCCCACTAACGTAGCCCACATGTCCATTTGAACAAAACGTACAAAAAGGTTGTGTGTCAACACTTGTCAAAAATAATTTTATGCTGGACAAGTAGCAAACGTCGGTTTGGTTTTCTAAGAAGCCGCATGGCAACTGCCGCTGATGGTCCAGTGAGTTTGCACACGCCATCATCGTGATGTCCCTTGGAGAATACAATGCTGCTACAAAGTTGAACCACATGGTACATATTGTTAATATACAATCAGAACTTGAATTATATTTTTTATCAAAATTGCATGTCTGGATGGTTAAGCAATATGACATTGCTGAGGAAACATTGTTTGCAGTGTGCAAGACAGGTTGCACAACGATTTGTCTTTGCCTGAATCCTATATTTCATATTTAGCTTAATTTCAGATTTTAGGAGACCATATAAGATCCAAATAATTCTAAGCAAGGAAAAAAATGTAGAGCATAGTTTTAGAATACATATAAAATTGGTTTCATATTTTTTTGAGTTAAAACAAATTTTCTAAGGTTAAATCAGATTTTAGTATTTTAAATACATTTTTCTTGAAAAGTATTTAGATAACTTTTTTGAAAAATATTTTTATCTTTTTAAACTTTAATTAATCTTCTTGAACTATTGTGAAAGTCCGATTTACCTTTCTCGTGACTTACATGGTATCACGTAGACGGCTGACGTTGTGCCATGTTAGCTAAAATCATTTTCAAAACTACTGAAGGAGTTAAATCAGACGCGGTTTCAAAGGTTTCAAAAGTTGAGAAAGGTAAAAGTCAGATTTTAGAACTAAGGGAGGTAAATCAGACTTGCATAAGGGAGGTGAAATAGATTTTTTGATTGATGGATCGATCGAGGCCATTGGCCCCGAGCCCGTGGGCCGTCCTCTCCCTCTCCCTCCCCCAAGGCCCAAAGAGCTCACATGCCGTCGCTAACCAGGCCACCAGTAACCATCGCATTTTGCATCCGTCCGCCGCCGCCGCTGCACCGTCCGTCGTCTCTGAAGACGGTAGCGCGCAGCCTCCGGCACCGTCTGGTGGTTCTGCGCCGGAGGGAGGGGAACGGAAAGGCGGCGCGCCTATGCTGCAGGTTTCAGTTTCTGCCCGCTATTTCATCAATCAATCAATTAATTGTTCTTTCATTTCAATCAACTAAATAAAATAAATAAATAAAAAGGTACTTCCTTTGAAGCTTATTTGCTTGAGCTGAGGCGACGGCCGCTTCGGGCTCTATGATCAGGTAGGCTCTTCAGGTCCGACAGCCAATGCAAGCCCAACGGTAAGCACTTTGTACCAATTTTCTGGAGCTGTTCTTCCAAGCTGTCAGGTAGTCTGAATGTCTGATGTTTGTGCCTTCGTGATATTAACAACAAAAAAAGTTGTTTCGCAATTTTGGTGGCGAAAGAACCAAGTGGAAAATTTTAACTGCATCAACTGCTTCTGCTAGTACATATACAGGCAACAAAAATGGAGCCAAGCATATTCACATTACATTATCATTTGCTCACACAAATCCTTAGGACTGCCTATGTCAGGATCTTCTCTGAATCATACAATTGCATGATTGACTTAAGATGGCATAATTTCACATTACATTATCAGTTGCTCACACATTACATTATGTCAGGATCTTCTCTGAATCATACAATTGCATGATTGACTTAAGATGGCATAATCAACCCTATAGCCCCTTGGTACATCACAAGGAAAGTAGAAAAAACATAACAGGGAAAACCCCAAGAGACTCATTTTTTATGCATTGTACGTCATATTCTTCTTCATTCATAGTTTCCCCTTCCTCACTCCTTGGAGCCTCTTTGTCACCATTCTCTGAAACAAAACAGGCAGTTGAGTTAAACAAAAAAACAAAATAGAAAATGCAGTAAAGCTAAACTGAACCAACAACAGTATTTTTTCAGAGATGAAACAGATTGAAAGTCAAATTGGACAAGTTAAATAAAGCAGTTACGTGATTTGGAATACCTGTCAGCGACATTTGTCTCCAAATTGAAAGGCTCTCTTGTGTACAGCACATACCATTTTCTTTCAATATCTCCGTCGTTTGCATATGCCTTGACTTGTTGGATATGACTAAACTTGTCCCACTCATGGCTGAATTTTCCTGCGGCTATGGAGGTCAGCAGCGATAAGGTGCAGTCTATCTGCAGATTTGTTGGTTTGAAATCCTTCAGGTATATAGGGAGTGTCTCCATGTCGTAATCTGTCAGCTCAAGTTTCTGGAGTGCAGGTAACCCCTCCAATACCTTCAGCTTTTGGCACCCAGAGATGTCCAGCTTCCACAACTTGGGGAAATTAGCAATTCTCATCAGGTCGGGGTTGTCATACACTTCGAGCTCAACAACGGCAGCAAGGTTCTCCAGGGAGTTGAGGTGCTGTACATCATGTACATATAATTTTTTCAAAGACCTCGCATGGGAAGCAAGGCCAACTGGAATACACCTCAACTTGCAACTCTCTAGAAGAAACTCTTCCAACAATGGCATGGCTTGCACATTCTCCTCCCACTCCCACTCCTCCCATTCCACCATTTCTGTTAATGTTAAGTTGTGCAATCTGGGAAACACAGCAGCCAACTGGGAAGTATGGTGGTGATCATGCTGGGGCTGCAAGAATTCCAGTCCAACACGCTCGATGGCTGGCGCTCGACAAATCTGAAGTAACTCCAAGCATGGTAGATGACACAGGCCATTGGGGAGCTCTGTGCAGCAAGGCAAGTCATCCATCGTCAGAATCCGCAGGTTTTCAAGGGGTGCAGCTGCTATTGATCTCATCCACCTTGGGAACCACCGCCCAAAAAATCCTTCAATTTCAAGAACATCTAAGCAGGGGGGAGGGCAGAGCTCATCAAACACTTCCACAATTTGTTGTTGCTCTGCCTCAGAGAAGACTTCGTCTTCTCTAACGAGTTGTCCATCATCTTCTAGTCTACTGGTGCAGTTTAAGAACAGATAGCTAAGATGCACCTTTTCACCAAGCCTAGCCTTTGCGGCGAAGGAGGAAGAAAGTACATTTTCTAGACCATATATAGAAAGGCCCATGAGCCTGGAAAGAGGCTCCAACACTTGCAGGCTACACCAGTCGCCATCCATGTGGGCGGGAAACCCGAAAATCTTCCTCAAATTAGTTAAAACGTAGAACCCCCTAGGTATAAAATTTATATTCGTTCCCATTAGGCTAAGATACCTAAGCTGTTGTAGCTTTTCAATACCACGAGGAAGCTTCACCAAGTTTTCACAACCATCAAGACTTATGTACTGCAAGAATTTCATCTTTCCAATGTTTACCGGGAGCCTAGATGTGTTAGGGTCAGTGATAGAGAAATACCTCAAGTGTTTGAGTTGACACAATGATCCAGCCATTACGTCAAAATTTGTTGAGTCTATATGTAGGGTCCGTAGACTTGGAAAGGTACCCAATGAATCACCAGCTTTAATCCCTATATGCCCAGCTACTAGTAGTGTTCTCAGTGATTTCTGTGATTGCAGAGAGCTCCACTCTAACTCCTCTGCTTCTGATCCTTCAGTTTCCAGTGACAATCGAATGAATTTTTTTGAGTTGAGTTTACCAATATCAGGTTTCCCTTTGTGTGCTACTAGTGCTTCATCTCTTGCCATATATTGTGCAAATGATCGAACTACATCATGCATGTTACAAACCCATCGGTCAACATACAAAAGATCTGGTTCTATAAGGTTCCTCAGTATTAGCTCATTGTAGTACTCCGTTGCTAATTCTTCTAGTTCATCAGAGTTCCCCTCAACAAATCCTTCACTAATCCACATGCTCACAATGTCATCAACGAAGAACACTGTGCTCTTATTAGGGATGAGGGAGTAGTGTAAAAAGCATTGTTTTAAAGAAGGGTGCAGATCTTCGTAACTAAGGTATATTGCATAGTTTAGCTCTTCAGGCATTTGAGATACTGACCATATTGCATTATTCAATACCTTTTCCCAATCTCCTCGTCTTGCCATTTTCTTGCACAGGAGTCCTCCCATTACTTTGATAGCAAGTGGCAAACAATCACATTTTTCTATAATTCTCATTCCAATATCCTCTAGCATATCAATCAGAGGCTCCTCATCTTCATTTCTGATTACCTGCAAGCAGTCCAAGCCAATAAAATGAGTAACAAAAAATTCACTGGTGGCTATACTTGCCGAGACATCCTTTACTAAAAAAGTAAAAAGCATATCATGAAAAAAAATTCCCACAATGTGGACAGCTAAATGTTTTTCTTTGGGTTGAATTAATGTGGAAATTCATATATTTTGTCCTTATTTTCCAATTAATGTTAGAATACTTACGGATTTTCTCATCTCAGATTAATGTGTGAATATAAAGAAATATGCATCCTTTGACATTGATACAGATATTTAATTGTGCATGATCCTCATCATGTTGTTTTGGGTGTCACCAGACACCAGAGGAGGGTTATTTGCAGCAGAAAGCTAATGTGAATTTAGATCAAAAGAAAAATGAGCTACTTGACAAGAATGTAGAACAAAAGAGAAAATGCTTTTTAGGATGGGACATACAGGCTATAAATATAGATCAAAAGAACCTCAATGCATTTTAGGATGGGAATTTAATTTGTAACTTGTGTTTGGCTTGATAAATTAAGTGGTGTTGGATCATGTCGTCATAGGTCCAAATATGTTTGGCTCTTGCTTTGTTTAAGATATTGGGCTGATCGTCATGATTCATCCTGCTAGTACTCAGGTATAATGGACCCATCACCCATCCCATTGATGGACTGGTCCCATAAACAGAGCACACCAACATAAGGATGGCTTAGATAATTCAGTAATCAGTATCCCTAGCAAAAGGAAAGCAAAAAGGAAGAACATAAGAAAAAGTAATACCATACAGACCTGTTTCTTGAGCAAGGACCAAGCATCTTTGGGGTCAAGTTTGTCGACGTGGTGGTAGGGCTCCCTAGCTTTCATCGCTCGTGCAACCAAGTCATGCCTTGTGGTGACCAGGACTCGGCTACCATGACCAGCAGCATTGCCAAATGGCGTTTTAAGAACATCACTCCATGCTTGGTCATTCCAAACATCATCCATGACCAGAATAGTCTTGTGCCCATCCAAAGCATTCTGAAGGATCCGTTGAAGTGTGGCTTTTGCATTCCCAGCTGCATGGTGATCCCCCCCAGATTCGATGATGGCTCTCTTTAGGATCTCTGCCACACTGAAGTCCTTGTTGACACTCAACCATATCTTTTTGGTGAAGACACGGTTGATGGTGTCGTCGTTGAAGATTTTTTGGGCAAGGGTTGTCTTGCCAATTCCGCCAATGCCAACAATAGCCAAGACCATACTTTTATTATCTTTGTCATGGGTAGCAGTGGTTTCAGGGTCTTCTGTTAGCATCTCCACTAGCTTCCTTGTGTCAAGTTCAATCTGTTCGCCAACCACACTAGACCGGTCGAGCTGCGCTGAGGTCTCGCGGTTGGCAAGACGAGATGTTGTCTCCTTGCCACTGCGGTCCTCATAGGAACCAAGGTTGATGAAGCTGAAGGTAGCGCTGCGCTCCTTGATGGCGTCTAGCCTCTTGTTGAGCTTCTTGATGCGGCTGCCGATGTCGTGGGCGAAGACGGGATTCCTCATGCAGAATAGCAAGGGGTTGAGGCACCCCATAGCCAGGGATGATGAACCTCTCTCCATGGCCTTAAGCTGACACAGGTCAAGGATGTCAGTGGCGTCGTACATGGTGTCTTTGAGCTCCCTCACCCATGGCTGCACACTTTGGTCGGTGACGTTCCTCCTGTCAGCATCAGCGAGGAAGTTTTTGAGGTCCCCGAGCTTGGTGCCAAGGTTATCGATCTCACCAGAGACCCCGAGAAGCATGTCCACCTCTTCTTTTGCCATCTCCGTCAGCATGTTTTGAATGTAAGATGCAAAAGCATCCAGGACCACTGCCATATTGCTGGCAGGTTCAGAACGCTGCAGAAGAAGTCATGGGAATTAGAACAAAGTGTTTTATTTCTTTACCTTCAGCATTTCAGTGCTAAAAGCTAGAATCGATGGCATCAGTGCAATGAACAGCTAGCAGTCAGTTATGCAAATAAACCCTAGATACATAAAAGATAAAACAAGGTGTGATGATCTAGCTATCATGAAGGTGAGGAGCAACATTGAAGCTGCAGGTAGAGAGGAGCATCACCTGAATTTGCTCCTGCTGCTTGTGCTCGCCTTGACGGGTAAGCAATTAGATGTGTAAGGCAAGAGGATAGCTACATGTTGCATGAACATATAGATGGAGGCAGGGAATCTCAAAAACTTTGGTAGTTGGCATGGAAATAACTAGGCCCGTGTCCATGTTATGCTTTACTTTTCAAGGTTAGTAGTAACTTGTGGATAGGGCAGAGTATATATCCCTGTCAGTCTTGCATACTAGAACTTTCTCCTTGCGTGTGATAGAACTTTCTGCTATTGAGCAATATTTGCAGGTTAAGAAAAAGGTCACCGATGATTACTTCACCAATCTGTAGGCTTATACAGTCGTAAACGATCGTAAATTTCCAGTCGGAATAGTATTTTTCTCTCACACCAAACCAGCCAGTAGTATTTTTTCACGATCCAGCAACGAACAAGCCCAGCCAAACGAACAGGCTGTAGAACTTTCAGCTGCATGGATAAGTAATGCTTTAATCTGTGTAGGCAGAGCCGCAATGATGCAAAGCAACGAGGAATACGAAATTGAAGAGTATTCTAGCTAGATATTTTCCCACTAGATAGATGTCGAAATTTCTGTACCGGATTTACATGTAATTGTGGCACATTCAAGGATGGTAACTTTAGATTAGCTCAATTTTGTGCTGTTGCAAAATATATTGTGATTAAATGGGCTTGTTGTGTGGAACTGATGAAATATTTACTCTCAGAATGAAACTTGAATGACGAGATTTCTGAAATTTGCTTTGTATTGGCAGTCTAAGTTGGTGAAACTTTTATGTTAGCACACCTCTCAGTAGATGACACAGCACTCAATACTCAGTTGGGTACAATCTGATTACACGACCTCAGGGGAAGGGAGGCCTCGAGCTTAGCTGAGCAATCTAGGTGGAGAAGGGAGGAATCAGACTAGGCAAGGGAGGGAGAGCTCTAGATCTAGAGAGAGAGGCCAGAGGAGGAAGAAGAGGAACAGAGATAGGAGAAGGCTCTTCTGATAATTCATTAGATGGCCCTGTGCGTGCCCGGCTGCCTTCTCTTTTACTGCCCTCATGGTGACCTGTGCTAGCCCATTTGTTGTACAGCCCATCCAGCCCATTAGCTTCTTACCTGGATGGTATATGACATTTTGCTCAACAAACAAATATGCGTATTCAGACTTGACAGTGAAATGAACTAGTGGTAAACATTCTTTGCAATGTGTTATGGAGCTCCCTGATTGGGGAGTGCCGCACCCCTAAATCCTGCAAAAGAGCAAGAAAAGTGCAAGGTGCCTCTGAACACATTCATTCATAGAGAAGAAATCGCACCGTGCCTGCAGCATAGAATTGAATAAAGCTCTCAAACAATTTCCCAAATAAGTTGCGTCCACCCATTTCTAAAATTGATTCCCTATTTACCACTATATATAAGAATTACAGACTAATTATGTCTTCATTTTTTTAGAATCACTAATTATGTCTTCATAGGTAACTTCATTCGCAGAAAATTAATAGAGGCAAGGCCCACTTCCTTAAAACCCTATTGGGCTTGGAGCCCACCGCCGAGCTAAGAGGAGTCCGTTCCGTCTCTCGTCCCCCACTCGAGGCCGGACGGCGGCGCGCGAGGTCAAGAGGCGCCCGCGACGGCCGACGGGGGCATTTGCTCCTCCTCCTTCTCCCAGTCGATCAAGTACGAGTACAGTGGATTGAACATGTGGCGGCGGCAGCAGAGCCTTCTCCGCCGGCTCCCGTCGCTGAGGGCGGCGGCGCAGGCTCCATCATCCTGGGCGGCCGACCGGCTGGGATGCTACTACGGGTCTGCGACGGAGGGGAGGAAGGCAAAGGCGGCGCCTTTGCAGGTCTCCTCCTTCCATGACCGTTTCCCGATTCCCTTCACCCTCCGTTTCGTTACTGATGGATTTGGTGCAGGCGCGGGGTATGGTGGACAAGTTCCGGATGCGCGCCAAGGGTGGCGACGGCGGCAATGGCTGCGTCAGCCTCCGGCGCTCTAGGTCCAACCGCCAGGGCATGCCTGACGGTGAGAGACCCCACCCTTTTGTGCTGCCCTTGCTTTCGCAATTATACAAACACTCTGGTGAAGTTGGCTCTGGTTGTGGTATTAGCATTGGAGACCAATATGTGTCCGTTCCTTTACAATATACAACTACAACTTTCCTAATTAAATTGGTGCTTCTCTCAATGAAGATCAATCTTCAAGTTTCCCCTTTAGTTGCTTTGTCCATTAGTAGAGCTCTTACTGTTGGAAAATTTAATTTTGATTTCACACCAGGTTATCCGTCTAGTGTCCTCATCTTAACTGCCCAGATATTTCTTTGGGCTTTAAGTAATCTGTTTAATTGACCAACAGATCATGTCTGTTAGTCTTCAAAATGGTATTCTTTTTGAGAGATGATAATCTGAATCTACAGCTTGAATAGATTTGATTTTATAATTTTTTTCCTTTTCCCCCACGACGCCTTGCGCCGCTCCCCCATCTTGAGGCGACTCAGGCGGCCCCCTGCCAAGGCGCCGCCTCCTCTCACCCCTCTCCTCCTCGCCCTTGCCGCCACAGCCAGGCTGGTCATGCATGGCACCGCCTTGGCAGTGATGGTGGCGGCGCCATGTGGCAAGGGTCCAGCCTCATGACCGGCGTGGAGGTTGACGAGGTGGCTGCTGCTTGCCTCTTTGCAGCCTTGGTGGTGTCCGTCTTGGCAGCGCAGGGACGGTGGCGAGGTCTTCTTCTTCTCCGCGCGTTCCCCTTCTCCTCTCTTGATGGCGGCGGCGGCGCTGGCTGAGGACGCCGGCCCGGGGCCCAGTCGGCCAGATCCGGACCCTAGGCTGCCGGATCTGTCATGGCGGCCGGCGGCGGTGGCGGTGGCCGGGGCCCATGCATGCGCTGGGGGTGGTGCTTTCTTCTCTGCCGTCCCTCCCCTCATGGCCTTTGCTTCTTTGCTGGGCCGGGTCGGCTGTGCGGCAACGACCTCTGCCAGCCCCGCCCACCACATGGCCGGTCTGGCGGCCAAGGCGAATGGTATCTGCAGCTATGGTCAAGACGGAGGCGTTGGCGTCGGCAGGGGGCGCCGGATTCGGGGCCTGGCGTCCGGATTCGGCGGCCCCAGGACATGGGGCGGAGCCCGACATGGTGGGGCACACCGCGGCGATGATGGCGAGACATCGGCAGTGCGGAGGCGACGACGACGTTGGTCAAATGCGGCCTCGGTGTCGCGGCGGTGTGCGAGGCGGCAGAGTCGTCCGGCTCTGGGTGGCCCGGTCGGAGGGTGGCGGCCAACGTGGCTGTCGGCGGTACGCTACGTCACGGCCGCGGCGCGATGATGCCCTCTTAAGGGGCTTCCGTGGGGCGCCAGGACAACGGCGATGGCGGTGAAGGCTGGCACGGGTCCGGCTTCACGACCCGGCGAGTGTGCTAGAGGGTTCTTGGGCGAAAGCCTTGGCGATGGCGACGCCGTTGGGCGCCGCTTCCCTGCTGGGGGCGTCGTATTTCCCCACTAGCATGTCTTTCAAGGGTGAAAACTCAGTCCACTTTGGACGTGCGACGGTGACGCCATTGGCGTCACTCCCTTCCTGAAGGCGTCGCATTTGGATTATTGTCGCGGTTTCGATGCGGGGCGATGGTTTGCGTTTGGAAGTCGGAGCTGCTCTTCGGTGTTTGAGCTTGGCAACGATGACCGGTGGCGGCCATTAGCTTCTGACCCGTCGGGGGGTGACCAGTGGGTGGCCTGCCATGGGAAGTCGGAGCTGCTGGCAGCTTGGCTTCCATGCTCGGCAACGATGACCCATGGCAGTGTGTCGTGTTTGTGCTCAGCTGCGTCGCGTGGGGTGGTTAGCCCTTCGGGTGCCTTTCTGGCATCTCGTCCGGCTAACCTTCTTGTACATAATATTATTTCAGCTTAATTGAGCGGCAGAGCTCCTGCTTTTTGTTTCAAAAAATGATAATCTGAATCTCTGATGTATGGGGAGCTAATGCTTGAACACCTGATACATGAGGTGCAATGGTACTGTAAATGCTGAAGTTGATGTTGCAATGCATGCTACGGGCAGGGAATGATCCCTGGAATTCTAAAAATCATGTGCAAATTGGATATTAAACCCTGCTAATTATATATTATATATAAATATATAAATATTTCCCCTGTTTCTGTTGCTTCAATCTAGCTCCTGATACTCACTCTGATTTTCACATACTAGTGCAGTGGGCTTTATATTATTTGCAATATTTGGACTGATCCATCCTTAATTCCTTATAATGAATTTTAATAAGTACAGGTGGTAATGGAGGGAAGGGTGGTGATGTAATTCTTGAGTGCTCAAGGTCTATCTGGGATTTCAGTGGCTTGCAGCATCACATGGTATGTCTTTTGCTTGAGTTAGATATGGTTGCTGCACTGATTGTTGTGCTTCATGTAAGATCTTATTTCATAAATTATAGTGTCCTAATTGAAAGTTAGTGTTGTGAATGTATTGGTATAAGAAAGGTCGTCCAAACCTGAATTTTGTTTATATGATCCTATTAACCTAAACTGTGAAGCTAGACATTGCGGTGTAGCTTGATATGATATGGATCATTTGAACTCTGGGGAAATCATTGATACCTGACTTTAGCTTGTTTAATTTTGGTTTTCAGAGAGGAGGCCGAGGTGGCAATGGACTTTCTAAGAATCAGATAGGAACAAGAGGTTCTGACAAGGTTACCACGAGTTATGCATATATATCATTACATCTTTTTTTTTTGTTTACGTTGTATGTCACCTT